ATGCCCAACAACTCGTCCGTGACACAAAGAGTTCGTTCTCTGCTCCATGTCTTTTCAACGTATCGCGAAATCGATGGGAAATCGATGACACAGTCATCTACATCCGTGTTTCTTATACTATTTCGACATCGCAAATGATTTTGGTGAACGCGGATTTTGTCCAAACGAAATTTTTTCCAAGATATCTATAGAAAATCTCTTTTTCAAGAAGTTTCATTTGGAAGTTTGTTTTTTTTTTTTCTTTTCTTTTTTCTTTTTTCTTTTATATATTTATAAGTCGAAGTACATACGTCGATGTATATCGAATAATTACGAAATAAAAGTTACAGATATCATTTAGAAGTTTGTATATACGTAGGTTGCGTAATACGTAGATGCATAAGTATTTAGAAAATTAACTGGGACGGGTACCTGAGTTTTTAGTTTTTCCATATTACTAACTAATTTACTATATTACTTAACTAATTTTCATAGTTTTTATATTCTTTATGCTTATGTCGTGTTAATTGAATTTTTAGCCACTTTTTACAAACGGAGATGTAGAAGAATATTATAGAACGTAAAGGAAGAAAATGTTAATATGTGCGCAAGGTATATCGATAATAACTTACGTCGAAATAATTAACTCGCACTTCGTAAAGTAAACGTTTCGTTAATCAAACTATATTAATATCATATAATAACGATAAACAAAGATATGTCTGTTTAATCGAACTTGTAATTATACGCTAAACTGAAGAGATTTTCAGTGATCATTCTTATTCCGATACTTGAAATTTACTCAATGATTTCCATATCTTCGCTTTTTCTTACAACGCTTCATAATATATTTTATAGATGCCTTCTTTATGCAATGTTAGGCCACGTTCCCGTGAAAGATCGAGGAGGGCATAGAGAACCGAAAGTAGTCGAGGATTGCCACGTACAACAGCATTATAGAAAAACTCTAGATACGACTTTTGATATAAAAGAACTGTTATAAATAGTGAAGGAAACAAGGGTTAGCTTACTTTGAAATATCGCGATGTAGAGACAAATTAATTTCTTTACGTGTCATATTTGTATAGAACTATTTTAAGAGCCAACGTGGAATATTTGCTTTCACGCCTGCTAATATACATACGCGTTGCACACGTATGAGTAAAGTGTCAACTTATCCCGATATCAACTTATCACCTATATCGTAGGTACATCATACTTATTTCAGAAAGTTCAGCGATATTTAGAAAAAAAATTGTCAACCTTACCATAAACTTGTCACTCTATGTTCTCATCTCTCATCTCTCATCTAAAAAAAAAAAAAAAGAAAAAAGAAAAAAAAGCCAAAGATCGACATTCCCCATTTAAGAGTTTATCTTTAAGATAGAAATTTCTATCTTCCTTGCTATTATCGCGATATTCCCGTCTCTAAACTCAAAGGTCTTTGCTATCGTAAATAAGAATCACTCGTTCAATCTGAACCGATTGCGAACATCGAACGCTATTTGTTCGTTCGCTATGAGCAATTGACGGAAGTGGAAGAAATACGCGAGAAAGGTCCGAGCACGTAGTAAATATTCTCCGTTGGCAGCACGTCGGGAGGAGGAACATTGCTCGCACCCATTTTTTTCGCATCGTTTCTTCCTTCTCTCTTCCCTTCCCTTCCATTCACACGCGGTGCAATCCTTTTCTCTGTTCTTTTTTCCTTTTTTCCTTTTTTCCTTTTTTCCTTTTTTGCCCGTGCGATGCACATGATTATCGTTGTCGAGAATTCGACGGAAACCGACAATCCATTGATGCAGGACGTCAGCGTTGTCGGCATCGACCTTTTCCCTTCTCCGATCTGCCCCCAACCTGTCTGGCCGTTTTATATTTCGCGCGTTGAACGCGAATGCGCCACTATGGCGTCTGTACATCCTTTTCCACCGATATTAAATAATAATTTACAGAAAACAGGGGGAACGGATAGGGGGGCGGCGGAGCATAGAGTAGGGGAGGATGGTATAATAAGTGAGACGAACAGTGGTTCGACGAACATGACCTTGTAACGATAAAAAAACAACGGACCATGTATCCCGGAGTGATTCATGTCGCCGGGCACCGGCGAAACGCGATGCTTTACGACGGAACATGGATTTCGACGCGTGTCCCGCAAGGTAATGAATGTTTGCATTGTTTTCCTCCGGACATATAGGCATTTCGCGGTTTCGGTTGGTTTCGGTTGGTTTCGGTTGGTTTCGTGTCAAACGTATTTTACAGTGTACGGGATCGAAGGGAGGATTCTAATTGTAAGATACGATTACACACGAATTCGAGAGTTAAACGCGAGCGAAGAATTGCAAGAAGATTATGGAAGAATAAAAATAAGAATTTGTAACGCGGTAAGTTTCTGCTACTATCGTTTATTAGAACGGTTGGTTAGGGGCGATAGTGGTGGTGCGTAAAAACGCATGTTTCGCTATTTGCGCGGTGAAGGAATGGCTTTATCGGATTCGACGTAACGGTTATTTCTACTATAGAGTATATACACGGATAGAAATGTAGAAAGATCGGAAGGAAAGGGAAAAGTAGAGGGTGTAAAGAAGCGCGGAGAATGAGCGAAGAAACGAATTTTCCAATTATCGTTTGCATTATCGATAATTAAAATTCGATGGTGAAACGCGTGGCGATTAATCGTTTTGTCTGGATAGCGAGCAATTAGTTGCTGGAATCGCATCGAACGCGCGAGGAGAATGCATCGGAAACGATTTCGCGATCCCTCGGCAATCTAGCGAAAGTGTAAATTACCTTTTGCTATAAATGCAGGCGGGCCTCGAACGTCTATGCTCTCTCTCTTGGACCCTTTCGTCCCCCTCTCTCATCCTCCTTTCTGTCCTGGAACCCTTTATGTATTGCACCCTTGCCTAGAAGTCATCCCCAGTTTCCTACTCCCAAGAGCTATTAGCCTAAACAATATGGCTGCCAAACGCAGCAAACAATCGATAGCGTGGAGCGTGGTGCGCCAACTGGCTGTATAATTGAATTAAGACTATTAAAGACGAAATCGAACGTCATCTTCCAACTGTTTTGCGTAACATCTACCGTCTTAGATGTCTTGCAACCAATCTTTGTCTTCCACGCTGTAATCGTCCAAGTAAACGACTAATAACGATTGCTTTTCTCGAGTGGTTCGATGGAACGGAATTGCGTCATTTGGTTATTGTTAATCAGCTTGCGACGATTGTAGCGAACAGCGAAATGCTGGAAACAGATAAGTTAGGATGTTGCGTGGGGATATTATATCGAGTCTCTTTAAACAGGAAACCGCGTGACAAACTTCCATCGTACAAATTAATATTAAATTTGAAATAGAACCACCGGAAGCAAAGTTTCGAATAAAATTGAAAAATATCTCTGATTAATCCAGACGATTTTCCTTTGAAAATCATCGATGGGAATATTTAAGTAAAGAAATAACGTTTACGCGTTTTAATTCGCGAAATTCGTTTAGTTCGTACGCCTCGTAATTGTGAGTAAGTTTAATTATGAGATATAACAGTAATACGTTGAAACGTTTAGAAAGTCATTTCTCGATGACTTACTGACCAAGTGCATTATTTTGCTCCGCTATCGCTTCGCCAATCCTTTCCTCATTTTCGTTTTTCTCTTTTTCTTTTCCTTTCTTTGTTCTCTTCTTTCTTCCTTTCTTTGTTCTCTTCTTTCTTCTTTTCTTTCTTCTTTTCTTTCTTCTTTTCTTTCTTCTTTTCTTCTAGTCAGTAATCAAACTAAGGTTTGAAATGATATTTGGTAGAGAAGAATAGTTTTCGAAACAAGTATAGATCGTTTGTCCGTTCCGAGCAATTGCATCGATTAGGGTATGCTTTATTTCATAGTTGTGCATTATTTAAGCGGGAAACGTCCATTGCAGTTCAGTTTCAACACGTGGTACTACGCAGAGGCGAAACAGCCTGTTGCGCGGTTCATGTCTATGATGCGGAGTTGCTTGAAACAGCTAAATGTTCGTATCCTAATATAACCTTGAAATCACGAGATACCTTCTTGCTCACCTTATTCCTTCTTAATAAAAATGCTTCAATTCTATGCTACTAAATTAATACTAAAATTGTACTTGTATGTACTTTCTATGTACAGATCGAGTTTGACGGCTTAAAAACTAAATGGCGCTATTCTTAACCCCGCTACAGTCACTCGTTAAACACGATGAAAATTGGTGTTTAAACGATGAGAAATTTTTCAGCTATTCGAGAGTTTCTAAACGACGGGCGAAAGCTCACGACGTCACCAACGCATGTGCTACCTCGACAATTGATTCTCTAGCTTTCATGTAGAGGGAAGCGACCTCCGGTTCGGGGGTTATACGTGTCTCCTTCTACGATCGAGTTAAACCAAGTAGAGATACCATTAACACCCGTATTAGACAGCCGAAAAATAGTTAACTGACAGTTGATGGTTAGTGGTTCGGCAGAACAGATTATTGGCAGTGCGAGGCAGAAAAGATTTTGTAGGAATCAAACGGTCAATTGCCAGCGGCGAAGGGGAAACGAGCGATTATCGATCTGCAGTGGAATATCATCGACAGGTTAAGCATAGAAACGAATGGTGAAAGTAGTTGTTTCTGATAATTCATAAACGACGCATGCGTTTATCTTTATCGCGTTGCCAAACTTGTCGATGATGATCGTTGCCAACGATCAAAGAACAAACGGAAGTTATTACTCGTGTCCGCTGTGCGACGAGTGATCCGACGGTAGGTTAATACCGCGACTTCCGGCTTTCTTTGATCGCAAATTCGATTAGCCATATTACCAGAAGCGTGTACCACATGTAAAACGTTTCTTCTGGAAGCGATTAGAATGCACAATTAGAACGCACAATCTCTAAAACCCGTCTCTTCTGGCAGACGTCTGGTCTTCACCGCTCGATAGAAGCGACATATGTATGTATGTATGTATGTATGTACGTGGGTCGAAAAAAAACGGCGGGAAAATTGGAGAGACAGTTGGAAAGTGTTCGGTACTCACCTTTCTTGGGTATCAGAGATTTTAGCAGCATTACAGCGTTTTCGTCGCATGCCCAGCCGTGCATCTTCCGGTAGCTGTCGCGGCCTTTTTCCGTCAGCTTGTCCCACGGCTTCGGTTTGCTTAGCAACTCGCTAACGGTTCCTTGACTTAGCCCAAGGACATACTTGGCAAACAGTCTTTGACCGATGTTGTGTATCGACAGCAGCTCCCTGACCCTCCTGGCTATGTGCAATGTGTCCAGATTCTGCGAGGCGTACTTGTCCATGTTGTACCGCAGCATCTCTTGCAGCCTAGCCTCCATCGGATCACCCTTTGGGATAAGCGATTCACCGAGTCTGCCGGCCATTCCGGCAGCCCCGAACTCGTCGCTGAATCGAAACGGATGCGTCCTGTCGTCGAACCGAAACGGACTCTTCAGTGTGTCCAGCACACTTAGACCTCCGATGTTGTTGTTCGTCAGGTGACTGTTGTTGTTGTTGTGACAGGATTCCTGGTCCGCTGGGCTCTTTGGCGGTGGCGCTGTCGGAACGGCGGGAGTCATACTTGCACCGTTAACGGAAATCGACGAGCTAGTCGTATCGATCATCGACGTTGGCGGTTGAAAGCTTAGTGGTGACGTTAACGCAGTGGTAGACGATGGCGTCGGTGGTGCAGGCGTTTCGTGACCGGACACCGGTGTCGGCGCTTTTTCGGCGTCAAGGCAACTCAGTGAAGTGGTTCCTAACGGGGTATTCGACTTGGCTGGCGTATTAGAACTGGACGATGGATCCGTTGGAGATGGAAGATGATTTAGGCTACTGCTAGTCGTCGGAGGATGTAAACCGATCAGTGGTTGAGCTTGCTGTAACTGTTGCTGCTGTTGCTGCAACTGACTTAACGGCGTCGGTTGCTGCTGTTGCTGCTGCTGTTGCTGTTGTTGCTGCTGCGGCTGCGGCTGCGGCTGCGGCTGCGGCTGCTGCTGCTGATGTTGCGGTTGGTGCTGCGGATGTTGATGCTGCTGGTGTTGCTGCTGATGTTGCTGCTGCTGCTGCTGCTGCTGCTGCTGTTGCTGCTGTTGCTGCTGCTGCTGCTGCTGCTGCTGCTGTTGTTGTTGTTGTTGTTGTTGTTGTTGTTGTTGATTCATGATGGACCTCTCCAACGTCCGCCTCCAGTTGGCGACGATCTCTTCACCGAGGAGGGAGCCGAAGGTCTCTACATTTTGTAAAGGAGGTGGGAAAAGGAGGCTAGGTGTCGTCGACGTGGCTGAAGACGGTGTCGGAGTGGAACGCGGTGGGAGGGAAACTGCTGCTGGGGGCGGCGGCGGTGGTTGCTGGGAGGACACGTGGGACGAAGGCGGCACACCCCCGACCCCGTGGGGCGAGGCGGTAGAGGCGCGCTGCAGGGGTGACGATAGTCCACCTGCAACCACCAAAAACACAAGGGACCGCGTCAACACGAGCTCACACACGCAACAGATGACAGCCAATATAGAACGTTTCGCGAACACCGGACTCGAAATTTTGAAATTTTAGACTCTGTTTTCACATTCGGTCATTCGTCTTGTCGTCTGTCGTAACAGCCGGTATCCCAAGTTCTTCGGTAGCCTTCCTGGACGATAGACGACGGGACCGAGACTCTCTTTTTCGACGCTTCGTCGAAACGAGGAACAACGTGGCCCAACGAGAGGAAAAGTGTCACGTGTCAGTCAATTGGGTTCAATGTCTCTTGTGATTTTTCTTTGTTTTCGTTTTGTTTCGTTTGTTTGTTTCATTGGTTTTGAATTACCGAAAGGAATCTCGTCCTCTCTTGTCTTGCGACCGGGTTTTCTCCAACATTTTCGTTCTCGAACGACGATAAACGATAAGGAATTTGTGTAATGTCGGGCCGTGGAATTTTTAGGCGATTTTGAATTTTCCACCTACGGGAGAGATGGTTTATCGTTCGAAAGAACGAGAAGTCGCGAGAGATTAGACAAGGTAACGCGCGTCTGTGGAAGCCGGAGAAAACGATATATCGATGGGTTTCCTTTTCTGCCACTTTCAAGCTCTCTCGCTCTGTCGTCACACTTTGTATTTTCCGATCGATACGTATGGATGAACTTTGTTCGCGAAACAATGCTTTGACAATGCGGGCAAATACCGTTTCGATCGCATATACCGTCCACAAATTTGCGTGTACGAGGTTTGCGTTTCCCAGCGTGCAGATGCTCGTAGTTGGGGTCTCCGGGCGACGTAAGCTGGACTGGGGGATGATCGGAGATGTCTGTGGTGTTTGGTAAGGAACGCGGATTTCGGGAATATACATATATATCGTGCGGGCGTTTCGGTTACGTTAGTATCATCTACAACGGCACGTTGATTCACGCACCACAGCGAGAGAGTAGCTCGAAAAATGTGCAAATCTAAGCGGTAGAGGAACCCGGAGAAATAGGCGGAAGAACAAAAGAGATAGGAAACGTGAGAGAAATGAAAAGATACAAAAGACGGAAGGGAAAGAAGAGAAAAGAGGGTACTAGAATAAGAGGGAAGCGCGGTAGCGACAGAAAGAAAGAGAAAGAGAACGAGTAATAAGACAGAACCATGATAATGGAATAGAGGGGTAAGAGAGAAGTAAGTTAGCAAGAAAATGGGAAAACGAGAGAGTAAAATACGAGGGAGAGAAAATGAAAAGAGTTAAAAAAGAAGTGCGAACACAATGGCAAGCAAGAGTTATTTTGTTGTTCCTTTTCTCTCGGTAAGCTCCTTCAGTCATCCCCCGTTCTTTATAGAAGCGTCCGCGTTGCGTGACTCGTGTCTTTTTTGTACTTTGTTACACGATACTTGTGAGCCCTTCGACGTAGCCTCGAAGAGAGAGAGAGTCGGGGATCGAAGACCAGAACTTTAGCGCAGGAATTAGTAGCGGCAATTCTATGATCTACATCTCTTAACCATATCTCCTATCTCTCTTTCGTTCTCTATCTATCTATCTATCTATCTAT